TAAATATTAAAAAAAAAATTTTGTTTGTTGTTGCATTTTATATAATATTTAAATTATATTAAAATTTAGAGATTTTTGTTTTATTAATAAAAATAGTTAATATTTTTACGTTTTATATTATATTTATTCTATACATTTCAAATTCAATTTATGGAAATCTAAGTTTTATGTTTTTGAATCATCTGCAAATCAGATTTGCTCAACCAACTTACGCTTACTTGCTCTCATTATATACTTTGTGCTATGAGTTATCCAGCATATGGAAACTAATAACAACTTTACTGCTCTGCACTAGTCTCTCTCTTTACCTATATACGAGCTCATAAATTGCTCAACCTAAGATTGGCTTTGAGCCGACGGCTAATCTCTTGTTGCATAAGACATTCTGTAGACCATATTAAAGTGTGATTAGATCTAAAAATATCGCAACGGCCATTATTAAATATTAATTTACACCCAGCGCGTTAAACAAACAACACGTACAGCCAGCAACTGCAATAACAACAACAGAAACAACAACAACAGTGTTGACTACAACAATTGGTATCTGCATCAGGTCTCGAGTCAATCAACAGCTGCGACAAAGGCAACAGCGACGGCAATTGCTAAAGCGCCTGACATATTTCATACTCCCATAATGCGCTATACGCTGTACTGATGAATGAGAGGGTATAATGGGCTAATGCAAATTACTAAAGCTTATAAATGATATGAATTTACTGACTTGATTATGGCTTGGTACTATTTTATTTATAAATGAAACATCGAAAGCAGACAAAACTGCAAATTGTTCTTACTTCTTTAAGAATTATAAAACTATAGTACTCTTACAATATTACTTATACTATTTTACATTTATATTTATTTTAGCTTTGTTCACTTCCATTTTTTTTTTTTTTTTTTTTTAAACTAATAAATAAATAGCATTTAATATAGCATTAATATTGTTTTACAGGGTCTCTTTTAGCATATCAGCTCCCTACCCATAGCTGTTAACATGCTGTTGCAAATTATTAAATATTAATTACAATGAGCCGCAACGAAAACGTGCCATGAATTTGAAATTTAAATATTTGCCACGAAAAATTGATTTTGTAAAATTAAAAATGCATTTCAAATAGCATTTAGCGATAAGAGATTAATTAAACTGCCAGCGAGGAAGTCAACAGCAGTTTGCCTTCTAAGCCCCTAGAGGTGCCGACCAGGCCAGCACACAGCATAGAATCAAGGCGTGTTTTTAGTGCCAGCTACGAAAATGCCAATTAAAATGAAATAAATGAAATCCGAGCAGTTGCGAACAAAATCTTTTATATTATTTTTGGGGCCATTTTTGGGGGCCATAAATTAAGGCTCTAAACGATTTTCAAATGCAATCGCGGCGCGGCACTTGTCACCAGTCAGCCGGTTCAGGGGGTGTGCGGAGGGTAGGGGGCGTCTGACGGGGGTATGGCCCGTCTAATTTAACCTTTGACCAAAAGCCGCTACCACTAAATTCTGTCTGTGGCACATGTGCGTTGCCCATTGGATTTTCAAGGCGTGGCAGCAGCCGCAGCACCCGGAGTAGCAGCAGCCGCAGCAGCAGCACGCGCAGCAAGTCAACGTCAACAGCGCCTACGAAAGACGGCGAAAATTTTGAGTCTGACAAGAGTTGAACGGCGCTGTGGGAAGGGCACGAGGCGGCATCACACATTGTCCTGGGTTCTGGCCAAATCTAATATGACTTTCCCAGTCAAGCCGCGCGCTGCCTGTGCTGTCTTTTGGCTAATAGACCAAAGCTACCGCCTGACAAGTTACAATTCGTGACGGAATTGAGCAACGAATAAGGCAGCAAAGAAGTGGAAATACTCTACTTAATCAAGCTGCAGCTGAAATTTAATGTGTGTGCAAGAAGAGGTTATAAATATCCATGATTCGAATGATAAATGCAATATATAAATCTGTTTGCAATGAAAAGTTTAGTTAATCTCAAATTTAACTTTAAGTGAGAAATTAGAACAGAAAATAGTCTAAAAACTAGAACTAGAAATAGATTGAAATCGGAATGGGTTTCAATTCCAATTCACGATAGATTTTGTGGCAATCTTATTAGAAATATGTTGCTATTAGAATGGGTGACAATTCCAATTAACTATTTATAGGTGTACCCTCTCTGTTAAAGCTACCGACATATAAGACCTTAACAACTTTTTTTCAGCAAAAATATTTATATATTTTTACTGAAATTAAGAAAAAAAAAAAGACTCCAATTGGATTTGAGTGTCACAATTGATATCCTATAATATCCTATACTAATATCCTATACTATATCTAAATAGTATGGCAAATAATATAAAGGTTATTTAGCGAACAATCTGATTGCATTTCATATATTATGCATATGGTCTATCCATGATAGTAATCCCAATCAAGTTTAGTCCAATTAGAATTGAGTTTCACTGTGTGTATGCCATTGCTAATATCCTCTATATCTAGAGTACCAAATGGAACAAGAGACATTTTAGCTTACAATCATCTCATTTCTCGCCTATAGCAGCACATTGATACCCAAATCAGATCACTAAATATCAGTACTCCATAGGTTAGCTAGTGTATTTCCGACAGTTGCAGAGCAAAACCAAAGGCAGTGCCGAAAAACGAGAAGACAAAAAAAATGAAACTGGAAGTTGTAGAGCGTAAGAAACTGCGTGGACGGCATTTATAATAATGCGAGTTGGGCAGGCACAAAGTTGACTTTGGGCAACAAAGTAAGGTGCGGCAGCGCAGCCCCAGCCGTGGCTGCGGCAGTGCGGAAAAGCTACAAAAACAAAATCGCTGCAACAAGCTAAACGACAACAACAACAACGCACGGTGGCAACGAAAATGAACTGGAAAACGCGTTTAATTGAACCAAAAGCCCGATGACTGCCCACTAGCGCCATCTAGCTGCGTGCGGCTGCACTAAGCCGGCTTGGCAAAACTTGTTGTTGCTGCTGCTGCTGCTTCGACTGCTGCTGCTGCTGTTGTTGTTGTTAACTTGTTGCCGTTGCCGTGGTAGACCCGAAATCGATGATTCATCGGGTTGTTTGTTGTTTTGAGTGGTTTTCGCCGCCCCGTCGCAAGTCTCCAAAGCGCAACAAAAAAATTGCTAGACGTTTGTCGTACGTCGTTGCTGTTGCTGTTGTTGTTGCTATTGTTGGCGCTTGCCGCCTGCTGTTGCTGGTGACGCAGTTGCAATTGCAGTTGCAGCTGCACCAATTCTCCATCTCGTTTGCCGTTTGGCGCTTTACGTTCAAAACAATTATTATTCTGGCAATTAATTTTGATTTAAGCAGCGATTTGATATTCCGCTCTAACCGTAACCAAGCCAACCAGGCAGCCAATCAGCCAGGCAGCCAGTCAGCCAGCCAGAGCTAGTCAGCCACCCACCAAATGAGCTGCACCACCAGCAGCACCACCCGCTGTTGCTGCAATCTCTGTTCATTGCCGGCGCTTTGTGATTCGCCAAAATTGCGAATCAGCTGCAGCTACTTCAATAAGATCAATAAATAACAAGTAAGAAAGCTCCAGTCGAGACTGCTCGACTAGGAGATACCCTGAACCCTCCAAGCTGATATTCTAATCATTCTGCACTTCTTTTATGCACACATACATACACATGCATCCACACGCACGCATAAGCCTGCGCTCTGCTAACTGCGCAGTAAGCAGCGACTGCGCTTGGGCTGCGCTGCAGTGTGGGCAATATTATGAGAATTTATTTGTTAAATAATTTCTTTTGTAGACATACGATCTTAATGAAACTTTTAGAGCGNGGACGGACGGACGGACGGACGGACGGACGGACGGACGGACGGACGGACGGACAGACAGACGGACAGGGCCAAATCAACTCAGCTCGTCGCCCTGATCAAGAATATATATACTTTGTGGGGTCTGCCACGCCTCCTTCTGCCTGTTACATACTTTTAACAAAACCATTATACCCTGATTTCCCATTTTCAATGGGTTCAGGGTATAAAAAGAGACACCTACGTTGCTCCAAGCGAGACGCCGCGACTTGTCAGCAAATGAGCATCGCAATCGAAGTCGCCTAACCTTGCATGATCTGGCCAAGTCCAGATCGCAGTTGAGATAGCGACTCGGCTGCAAGTGAAGTGGACAAAATGTTGAAGCAACAAACTCATTGTAGCTTTATTTTTTTCTCCTTCCTTCATTTCATTTATTCATAATTTTAATTTTACATAAAAACAAAACATAAATTTAAATTTCGTAATATAAGTATCGCCAGAATCGTCTAGCTTTGCATGATCTGGCCAAGTCTTGATCGGATTTGAGATAGAATGGACAAAGGCTTTGCAGTTTCTTCTTCTTTCCTTTCTTAATTCATTTATTCATCACTTTCATTTTACATAAATCTTCGTATTATTTATTTACATAATTTCAATAAAAATAAATTGAAATTTTGTAATGTAAAATAGACGACATAAATACCGCCAGAATTGTCTAGCTTTGCATGATCTGGCCAAGTCTCGATCGGATTTCAGATAGAAAGGCATTGCAGTTTTTCTTCTTCTCTTTCTTAATTCATTTATTCATATTTTTCGTATTTACACAACTTAAATAAAAGAAAAATAAATTAAAATTTCGTAATATAAAATTTAGCATAAATACATAAATATTCAAATATATTCTAGTAATATAAATAAGCTCACACCATTTCGATCTGTACAGAGAGAGTGAGAGTAACAATAACAAAACATGAGTTAACAACAAAACTCCTATGCTAAATGCTTAATTAGCTAATCTATGACTCTATAAACATTTTGGATGTGATCTGCTTTGTCTACACTAGAACTGTTCCTAATGGGCAATAAAATTGCCCAGACTAATTTTTGGCACTGATTTCCTGACTTCTTTACCTGCTTTGGCTACAATTCGAGATGTGACTAATTAAACTGAAATATGGTTAATTATAAATATTGATAGATATGTATGTATATATAGATCGTGCTTAGTATATGCCCTGTCTGAGCTGTGTGGGCATTTGAAATTCGTGCGAATCGTCCTCCTCGCCCTCGCCCCCGCTGCTGCCCGCGCTGCCCGCATAGTAGAGCTGGTGCGCGGACTCCTCGTAGCCCTGCAGATGCTGCTGCAGCTGGTGCTGATTGAAGCCCGCTGCGCCGGGTCCGTGGCCGGGGCCGGGGCCACCCTGCTCCGACTGGCAGCCGCTCTGCAAGTGCTTGGCCAGCAGGGACATGCGGGAGAAGGACTTGGTGCAGCTGGGGCAGGAGTACTTCTTCACGTCCGAGTGCGTCTGCATGTGCGCTCGCAGATTGGAGCGGTCGGCAAAGGCGCGATTGCAGTGCTGGCAGCTGAAGGGCTTCTCGCCCGTGTGGGTGCGGATGTGGCCCTGCAGCAGCCAGGGGCGGGAGAAGGCCTTGCCGCAGATGGGGCACTTGCAGGGCAGCGTGTGGGTGCGGATGTGCATCTTGAGGGCGCCCAGCGAGACGTACGTCTTGTCGCAGTTCTTGCAGCTGAACACCTTCTTCACCTGGTTGCCCTCCGCCGAGGGGCAGTGGAACTGCTGGTGCTTGCTGAGGCCCGAGTAGGTCGAGTACGACTTGCCGCAGTCCTTGCAGTGATAGCGCGGCACGCCCACCGGCTTCTGCATGGACTGCGCGGAGGCGGCATTCGCCGCCTGTATGAGCGCCGATGCCTGATCGGTGCAGAACTCGGTCTGGTCCACAATGGGACCACCGCTCGGATTGCTCCGTATGATCTTGTACTCGGTGCTCTCGTAGGCGTGGCTCTGCTGGTGCTTGACGAGGCCCGCGTAGGTGGCATAGCATTTGTTGCACTGCTGGCACTGGTAGTACAGATCGTTGCTGCTCTTGATTTTCATGTTCAGCTGATGCTCGTTGTTCTCCTGGTTCTCCAAGTCATCATCCTGCTCGAGCGGATGTGACGGCACGTGCTTCGGATTAGTCTTGAAGCTTTGCTGCTGCTGCTGCTGCTGCTGATGTTGTTGATGTTGCTGCAACTGTTGATGCTGATGTGGCGCCATGTGTTGCATGCTGAGCAGCGCACGCGCCACGTTGTGCAGATTGACATTCTCCGTTAAGCCGCGACGCTGCTGCTCGGGTCGCACGCTCAAGTCCTGCGGCTCTGCCGGCAGCGGCTGTGGCTGCGGCTGCTGCTGCTGCGGCGGCTGCTGCTCCTGCTGTGGCAGCTTCATGCAATCCTCATAGTCGGCAATGCTCTTCAGCAAGTTGTTGTTGTAGTTGCGCAGACCGAACGGCTCCTCCTCCTGCTGCTCCGCCTTGACGAAACCAGCCACTGGCAACGGCAATGGCGGCGATATGCTGGCATAGCTGGCAGCCATTTCGGCGTCGCGCTCATTCTCCGGCTCCATGACCTCGTCCTCGGGCGGCAGCTCAAAGTCGCCGTAGCCCAGGCGCGCCAGGCTCTTGGCGATCTCCTCGCGTGTGAAGACATCGGGAAAGGCGCGCGCTATTTCGCGTGTCTCCTCCCAAATGCGACGCGCCAGTTGCTCCTTGGTCTGTGTCATGGCCGCATCGAAGCGGCGACGCAGCTCCGTGGTCACGGGCTGTGGCTCGGGCTCCGCCTTAACGGACCACTGCGGCGGCTCCAAGGGCACTGAGGCGGCAGCCACGCTGAGATCAACGGGTCCCTCATCTGAAGAGCAAGAGAAGGCAATGCAATTTAAAGAATGTTACTGGAAATCCCTATCAAGCTGAGAGTTGTCGAAATCTCGGTACCTACCATGACACAACTGATCCTCGAGCGCCGGCTCTTCCTCGACCTGTATGGGTCGCTTTTTCAATGGGCATTTGCTGTACTTTAGTTTATCCATATTAGCTGGAGGAATCACAATTTTGTCGCACTAGGAGGATCAACACGATCGTGTTCTATGAATTTTGATTTGTAAAACTGAACTTTGAATCACTGGAGCAGTTCATTGGCTGCTCGCACGCGTCTCGATCGCTGGCCGTTTCGTATGTGAATGATGCAACCGCCGAGGATCACTTTAATTTTATATAGACTTCACGAGGCAGGATCAACCCCCAGCCAAAAGTAAAGCATCGACAGCAGCAGCACCAACCCCCTTTGCCCAGAAAAGGATCTGCTGCTGCTGCTACCTACTTCCGATTTTCGTTACGGGGGATTCTGTACGGAAATCAACCACCACGAGCCACACATTCAATGATCTGCAGTCACCCCTCTGCCCAGACATGGATTGTCGCCTGCCGCAACAGCTGTGCCGTTCATTGAACGTTGCTCCAGCTGCAGATCGGCGTGGCACAGAGGGCTGCCGCCAACAAATCTCAGCTCAAAAAGCGAGCACGTGCCATACACCACACACACACACACACACGCATGCACACATAGTCATCGTTCACACACTCGTACACACATACAGGCATGTAGACACACACCGGTTACCGGCGCGTCTCTCTCCCTCCAGCGCAGCCGATCGCCACCAGCTGCCACTGAGATTCAATTTTATACACTCAAATTTCCCCTACTCTATGCGTGCGAGTGTGTATGTGTGTGTGTATTTGTGAGCATGAGCGCGAGCAGCAGCTGCGGAGCTTATATACAACTTGAAGCGCAAGTTTATTTTTAACTCGCAGCGAAGTGCTGTCTCTTTCAGCTACGACACAGTCGGCTGCCTCGGCTTATGTACACGATGAACTACACACAGAGCGATACGAAGTTTGCGCTCTGCGAGCAGGTGAGCTGCTTCGCTGTTCGCTGTTCGTCGCTCTCCGCTCGCTCTTCGTTGGCAGCAAAGAGTAGCTTTAAGCTTTAAGCTTTAAGCCATAGAGCGCGCAGCCAATTGGCGCTCTGCTTCGGCTCTCTTTTCTGTTGGCGCTCTTGTTTCACATTTCATTCGTTGCGCTGCCCAAAGAGCGAAAGAGCGCAGCATTGAAACTCGTAGTCTTTTCGATTAGTTTCAGTGCTCTTGGAGGCCTTAAGCTGCTTAAGCCAATGGTCCTCGCTGAGCTCACTAAAGCTGCAGCTTTCGTGTGGCTGAGATGCTCGATTGCGTTTGCTTTAAGCTTAGCTTTTCCACTCAATTAAACTTGAGCAAATCTCTGATCTGGCTGATCCTTATCGTTTATATGCATCTAGTGGCGCAGCGATCGTCTTAGAGCGTCCGCAGCTGCGACAACTTGGTCATCAAAGTGCAGTTTCGATGGCAGGCAAGACAATGCACAAAATACTTAGCGGTTCACAAATATTAATCACTGAAATAAACAACCCAAGCAACGAAAGTAAATCAACAACTATTGTTCACAGCATTTGCCCTCGCTCCTCCGCCTAGGTGCACTCAAGCAATAACAACAACAACAATAATCAATCCCTAACGGCCATGAAATTTTTTTGAAAATTTGTTTTTGAAATTTTGGCAGCCAGCTGCCAGTCCGAGAAACCTCCACTACGGCTCAGCTCATGGGGTGGCTGCGCCGCCGCATTTACCTGGCCGATCCTTTTGCCATGAAGTACCTTGGAATGCGCCAAAAGGTATGCGCAAAACTACCTGGCACCTTTCAACGTGCTCGCTGCGCCTGTGCCTGTGCCTCGTGCTGCAGTTGGCCCACCCCAATGGAACGCGCAGCATCACCAGCCAGCCGCCTGGCGATGGTGGTGGTGGTGGTGCTACTGCTGCTGCTAGTGGTGGTGAAACTGCATTTCGTACGTTACTTAGCGGGCCAACCCTTAGCCAAAGACAGCGTCTTGGTCTTGGCATTGATCTTGGCAGAAATCTCGGCACTGCATAGGGTTCTCCCCTGCCCCTGCCCTGGCCCCTGACCGGCGCACAGCTGCCTTTGCATGCTTGACACGTACCAAACAACTGATTTCTATAGTCTGCGACTTCTTACCAAAAATTGGCGCCAAACTGCTGTAAAGGAACCGGTGTGTCCTGCGCCTCGGAGGTGATCTCTGTTATAATAACAATGCTGCACATCAGAGGCGAATGTAACGATCTCTTTAAAGACTGCTGCATGCATCAAGACCTCCACTGAGATGGCTCGATATAATGACTTATCATAATTAATCAGTAGTTTCTGAAGAATTCACTGTGAATCGTAAGAGTTATTAGCATATCGCCTTATTAAGTAATGAGTCTTTATAGGTTCGGAAGAAAACATTTGAATTGGGAATTAGTTAGTCATTTCATAAGCATTCAAAATCAGCTTTGAGGATTATTAATTAATGTAAATTTGTTATAGGTGACAAAAGTTTATTTCATTGATTGCGATAGGTAAATCAGTAAAAGCAGCTTATTATATTTAAAAGAAATTATTTTACATGCGTTCATTTATTTATTTGTTTTTTTTTTTTTTTGTTATATTTAATATATACTGTTACATGCGTATAGAAAGAATATACAAATATATTTCATGATGAGAATGTATTTTGTACATTTTTTTCTGAATAATTTCGATACCAAATTAGTTTCAGTTTTGTAATACATATTATGTCTAATAAATAAATTAATAAAAATACATTATACATACATAGAATAGAATAGAATAGAATACACTTGATTTGAGATCAGTGAGTAATTTGCAAAAGAAATTTATGCCTGCAAAAGAAGAGAAAATATAAAGTGAAAATATATATATAGAAAATGATCATAATATATTCCCTTAACAAATAAAATATTATTCTCGATATATTTCCAAATTATTATATGTATATAATGATTTCTGGATTTTATCATAGAGAGACTGATTAATTATATTTGTCTATATTTAGCATTGATCAAATGCATTTTCGAATTTCAACTTCATAACGATCTAATAAACTAATTGGAAATAATCTAGTCTGTATGATGGATTCATATATAAATATGGAAATGTATATATTACAATGCATATTCGCATAGTTGCCGTTATCTAGGTTCGCTAATCTCACAGGTTTGATTTTAGATTTAATTCGCGATCAAAAGATCAATATACCTATGGAATACACACATTATTAGAGACCTTAAAAAGTGGTTTGAGTTTCTCGACAGCTTGAAAGTGTCTCCTATTCACTCAATGCTAACATTTCTCCGTCATTTCTAACCAAATGTAGCTCCAGTTGCCTGACAGCAGACACCAAAGCGAGCTAACTGCAGACATCACCTGGCAGCCAAACCGCAAACTGCAAACTGCAAACTGTGAACTGTAACTATGTTGGCTGAGACGCGGCTCAGATGCAGCTGAGTGCCTCACTTCAAAGTGTCAAAGAGCCGCCAAAGTCGCATAATGAAGTGCAAAATGTCATTAATTTGCCGTTGCTGCAGCTGCAGCGGCGACTGACAACAAAAGAAAGTCGCCGGATGGATAGGAAAAGTGTAAGCAAACTATGCAGAAATGCAAAACCTGGCCGCCAGTAGAGAGAAGAGAGTGGCCGAGTGGTGGATGGAGGGGGTGGTCAGCCGTTGCATGCCACACGCCGCCGCACAATGTCACGAGTTATAGATTTCTCAAGCCACTGAGCAAAAGAATGCGCCGACCATGGCGGCAACGCGAACTGGACGGCAATCAAAACAAGATCTTAGAACTATTGGCGCCTGATCTGCAGACAAAGAGTTGGAGTTGGAGTTGGAGCTGCAGATGGAGCTGGAGTTGGAGCTGGAGTTGTAGTTGTAGTTGGAGCTGAGCAGCTGGCCACAGAGGCGGGCACTGAAGAGCAGGAGACACAAAAGACACTGAATAGATACAGAGGAAGACGAAGAGCAAGACGAAGACGAAGACGACGATGGAGATGGAGATGGAGACAGTGACTGAGGCTGAGACAGAGTTGGAGACCAATGAACAGAATGTCCAGGTCAGTGAACATAAATGACGCCGCGGTGGGCAGCAGCAGCAGCAGCAGCGTATTGAAATCTGATATTGTTATCAAAGCTAACGGTAATTATAAACAAATAAAAGCACAACAACAACAACAGCAACAACAGCAACGATCTTGTAATGGAAAGGAACACACAGCCGAACCGAAACATGAATCTCACGTTGGCCGGCTTCCGACGCCGCATAAATTAGCCAAGTTAGAAGCTACGTCTATAATTCAAACTAATTTGTTTTATTGACAGCGTGTGCCCCTGCTACGTGTGTAGCCATCGAGAAGGCTAACACAGACACACACACACACGCACACATGCACAGGCGAACACACAAATTGGTCAATTATGAACTGAGCCAGGTCTAAGAAGACGATCGAGTCGCAGCTAACCGCAGCATTCATTAGCGGAGTGGGAGGGGGTGAGGGAAGGGGTGACAATAAATTAAATTTGTTGACCAACTAACTAATTAAAATACGCTTTTCGAGTCTCGACGCTCTTGCCTCTTGAGATATTCATCTGCTTGGGAAGCTTACTGTCATATAGCTCTCTGGGGTGTGTGGGGCATGGGGGACCACCCGCTCAGCTGTGGTTGCTGTTTGGGGGGGCAGCGCCAAGCGACAGTCAACGTCCATCGGTAGCTCTCATCTTGACTAATACGAATTATAATTTTCAGCTAGTGATTTTATTTAATTTTGTTCATAAATGAATCATGATAATGAATTGTTTATGCTGCGGCAAGCTTCAGTATATTTTTTTCTGTTTTTTTTTTCTGTTTTTTCTGTTTTCTTTAATTTTATTTCGAGAGCTTCATGGGAAAAAGAGATTAACATCAGCGTTTATGTTAATGCCTCTTGAAATATCATAAAAAATACAAAATATAATAAATATGATAAATTCGCTGCTTCAACAGCATTTTTGGTGCTGATTCACTTGCAAATTCGCCAAATGTTATCTTGTTGCTCTTCTCTTCTTCTTTTCTCCCCCAAATTGCCAAATTATTACCCAGCTGGGTTATTGTACTTGTGCACGTCTTTAATTTCCTTATCGAGAGCAAACATCCTCTTGGCCCTCGCTCACATCAAGTTGAAGGGCGCGACAAAGTTCAAGTTCGTCGCCTGATTTGCAGAGACTAAAAGAGGTTTAAAG